TAATGACCACACACATTCAAATGCATCATCTTACTGCAAAAAATAGATATTAAACTCATGTATACCTAAAGGCAATGCAATTCATCTTCCCTGTCTGGTGGGATGAAGTGCATTTGCAAAGTGTTTTGGTTCATTAACAGTTAACTAAGTGACAGAATGTGCACCTAACTGAAAGGGACACCCCAGAAGTGTCTTTATATACCAGAAATGAACTTCCTTGTTCTGTGTCAGACATAACACCAATAACAAAAGACAGGAATTAATATTCATCTAACTGCAGCTTACTAGGGGGAAAAAATAGTTTCACTGTAAGAACGTTAATGAAGACAGTAATAATATCTTCATGGTAAGAGTATTCCTCTTGAAGAAGAAAGCAACAATAAATGAGTGAATCTTTCCAGTGAAAAAATCCTTCACTTAGAAGAAGGTAAAAAAATCCTCTAAGACTGCTAAGACTTTAATTCCTCAATACCACCACTGAAAGGCAATTGTAGGCCTTGACGGTGCCATTGTCCTTTGTGCCTCTCCAAGGCACTGTAGATGCCTCGTGTAAAGAAAGTTAAACGTGCTCTGCTTTTAAGTCTGATGAAGTACTCCCAGGCAAGGCAAGCTGAAGACTTGACATCTCAGAGTAGCAATTTCTTTTGATGCAGTTACCTTTAGAGAGGCTATTGTTTTCTGTAAGATGTGAGGTGAAACAGGCAAAATCATCCCATCAGTCAAGACCCTGGATAATAGTGCAGTTGTAATTCCACATTAGTCTACGGGTGTATTTGGAAACCATTAATCTGTCTAGGTGTAACATGAAGACTTTTCTAAAACTTCTTGGGAAATTTAATGTAAGATAATAATAAAGAGTTGTCTCAATCTGCAATTTCTTTCCTTGCTTATTTTCTCTTGCTGTTGATCTTTTGGTCTTCTCTCTGATTCTCCACTTCATACATTTCTAGCATGTACATAGCTTCCTTCCCATGATTTAGAAACATCCTTTTAAAATATCAAGCTGAGGTATTGGTGACAGATAATGCACAAAAGCCAAAATGAATAGATGTGCACACTGTACTAAGCAGGGCGAAGAATATTTTAGGACTTAAATTTTTAAATACACACCATCATGTCACACTGGTTCTGCTGCAGATTTGTTAGTTGCCTTAAGTCATAAACTACAACAACAGCCTCGTGAGTATATGCAGGCCATTTGCTTCACGTTCATGTATTATACAGGGATTTGTTGACTTTACATGCCCACTCATTTAGGAGGAACTTACGTTATTCTTGTTTTTATCCAGAGGTTTTAACAAAATATTACGGCACCACCACCACTAAAATGAGAATTAATACATAGTTATTTGCTGCAAAATTCCACCATGAGTTACTCTACCAGCTAAATTAAACAGAATATGCAGCTTCAAAATAAATGCCTATATCTCAAAGAAAACTTTCTCCCAGAAAATATCCCAGCCGTGTACTCACAGAGTAAGTTACCATTCTGACAAAAAAAAGGTGGAACTTAAGCTATTCACGGAATTATTTTTTTCTCCCCTCAGCCTAAACCATTGACACGTTTCAGCCCGATGATCAGTAAGAGAAAAATGAGATTACAGGTCTGCTACACCTGGTCATCAGAATTCAGGAATATCCTCACAAGAAGGACATGGATCTGTTGGAGTGAGGGCCAGAAAAATGATCCGAGGGCTGGAGCACCTCTCCTAAGAAAACAGGCTGAGAGACTTGGGGCTGTTCAGCCTGGAGAAGAGAAGGCTCCGGGGAGACCTTATTGGGGTCTTTCAATACTTAAAGGGGGTCTATAAGAAAGATGGGGCCAAACTTTTTAGTTAGGCCTGTTGTGACAGGACAAGGGGTAATGATTTTAAACTACAACAGGGTAGACTTAGGCTAGATAGAAGGAAGAAACTTTTTACTATGAGGGTTGTGAGGCACTGAACAGGTTGCCCAGAGAGATGGTAAATGCCTCATCCCCAGAAGTATTCAAGATCAGGTTTGATGGGGCTCTGAGCAACCTGATGTAGCTGAAGGTGTCCCTGCTCACTGCAGGGGTTGGACTGGATGAGCTTTAAAAGTCTGTTCCAATTCAAACTATTCTATGATTCTATGATCTGTTAGACCTGAAAACTGTGTTAAGGTGTATAAATAATATTAGAAAACACAAAGAACAAACAAAAGTCTTATCTGACATATTGTAAAGTAACTTTAAATAATACATTTAGTGACATCAGACTTTTTTGACAATTCAGCAATTCTGTTACCTTGGCTCCCTAGAAATACATTATTATTGGAATGCTAAATAACTGGCAGAACCCCTCCCCATAAATGTCCTAAATACTGGTAAACAGTGAAAGAGAAAGACATCAGCATTTAGCACCTTAAAGCTGCTAGGTAAACCCCACTGCAAAGCCAATTAAATGACGTTTCTTGAAACATCTTAAGAATTATTTTTTACTCAGAACCAGTCCTTACTTTTGATCTTCCACATTTCTCACATAAAGACAACTCTGCACGCTCTGTTTCCACATCAGTGAAATGAATTCATTCCAGTGGTGACAGTAGCCCTGTCTAACTAAGCATCAGGATGGTTATTATGGCATAAAAATGGTGCAGTGTTATGTACACGTACATGAAAGCTTTTGCATGAGTCAACTTGATCAGCTATTTAAATGAATTGTTTTCTTCAAAGTTGCTACAGAGAAAATATTGGGCAACGCCATCTTTGTCTGCATTCAACAGGCACTGATGAGAAATTATTGGGTATCGTAACCACCACTACTCTCCTCATCTTTAGCACTGCTTGTTTCCTCAGTCTGCACACACTGCAGCGATGTCACTCTTGCAAATCATTATTACAGCTGACAGACTAGCTGATTGATCTGGCCAAATCATTGTAAGCTTGTTTAAGAGGATTAAAAAAGCTTTACATTGATTTAGCAATATAAGGTACTTTTAATCAGTTTAAAGAGCGTCCATACAAGGTGTTTGAATCAATTTAACTGATCAGTTTAGCAAGTGATCCAGTTAGATTGATGCGTCAGACTAACTGGATCACCTGTTAAACGGATTGTTAAATTGATACACCTCATGCGTACAGAAAACACAATGTTAAATGCACAAATTGCTCCACAGATAAGAAACAGATTTCCCATAAGATGTTTTTACATTTCTCATAGTTTTATATGCACCCTCTCCGTGTCTCAGGTTACCTTAGGGCTGCCGTATTTACTTCCAAGATTTCACAGTATATGAGTGGATCCTATATGGTTTTTCCAGTAGTCTGAGGGAGCAGCAGAGCTACTGCACACAGCACTGCACCGCCAATCTGTCACTCCCTGAACTTACCAGGCTTACTATTCAATATCTATCAAACCTCCAAGGAGGTTCACACTTTCAGCACGTTTACTTCTACTGCGAAATTTTTCAAAAATTCCTACACAGGCCAGACAAACATCCTCAAATTCAGACAAAATTTCTGACCAGGGAAATAAAATATATGTGGAAACTTTCAGGTACATTTGACCTCTACTGTAGAACAGTGTTTTACACTTCTCCCGTTCACGAGCACTACCACAGTACAATGAATTACAAGTTATTTTACCCTACCAATCCCAACAGGGTAAAGGTAAAACATGAAAATTAGGGTTTTATATTAACAAATACACACGCAATCTTCCCACACTGTAAGAGAACTGACACAAATCCCACTTTCAGACATTTCACGCTTGCCTAGGTCACTCTGCTCCCCAGTAACAGTTCCCAGGAAACTGTTGGATACCTGGATAACAAAGCTTCTTCACCACTGCAAATTTTTGATTTGTGTATTCTCAGCATTGACAAAAGAAAATTTGTAATGTGGCAGAAGTGGAGGAAGTAGATTCTTAATGGTTAATAACTCAGGATTTGCCACTTAGCTCTCTTCCAGAGATTGCCCAGAAACCCACTGTTTCATCTTCCAGCTTGTTTCCCATCAAATTACTACTAAATTATTCATAAATTATTACATAGTTGCTTCACATCCCTGCAATACTAATTTTAACAGTTTCAAAGAGCCTGGAATACTAGCTTTCAGGTTTTAAAAAATGCACATAAACAGCAGTAAAATATACAGTACGGATTAATAAAATTAAAAACCAAGAAGAGTTTTCCCTTTTCTACTATAAACTCTGAAGACTCACCACCCCTTCCGGAAATTAGCAATATCCCATTACCATCCGTTGCTAGCACATCTATCCCCTTCACCACATGAAAATATAATACAGAGATAAAAATAATGAACAACATTCTTGGCATTTCAACACTTTCCTAATAAATGAGGCAAGCAAAAAAGGATCTTATCTACATTTTTAAATGTTGCAGCGAACCCCTTCAGTCTCGAAATAAAATGGTGCAGGTAAAAACCCAGGATGGCTTCATAACTCTTTCAGGAATAGGATAAATAAGCACACCTTGAGATAATAACTAATCAAAGTGCAAGTACTGTGCCATTAGCGGGTGAGCTGCTAATTAGTCAAAAATAAATAAAACCATCATTGTAGGCTAAAAAGATAAGGAAAAAATAAGCAATATTTAGAATTTTATCATGAGGAAAATAGTATTAAGCATAGCTCCATGTAAAAGAAAATCAGACTCATATATTAAAAAAGAAAAAACTCAGTATTCGTTAAGTTAGTCCACTCAAGTAAATGTAATTGAGAGATGAGCATTTACTTTTCCAAAATGTATCATGAAAATGAATAGCATTAAGGAAGTGCAGACATTCTGCGTATCTACTCCCTTATGCTGCACCAGGACCATTAAAATCACATGAATTATTTTGTCAAACTGCTTAGGAAGTTCAGAGATGTTCTTAAAATAGTCATTTATCTCAAACTTAGTATGAACAAGGCTACTTTATTCTCTTTAAACCTTAATTAGTGTACTTAAAATGTAAGCTGCGTTATCAAATGTAATTAATCATATTTTAGGATGGGGGTATGTTGAGCTTGACTTACATTCTGCTGCTTGGTATGATCTTGTGGCCGTCTCTGTACCACGTCACTTGTGGTCTCGGGTAGCTGAGTATGTGCAGGACGTTCAGAACTGCAGCCTCTCCTTGAGTCACCGTTTTTCTCTGGTTTGTGTCCATGAAATTTCCCATATCTGCAAAGAAAAAAATTATACTGAGTGTCCTGGAAGTTCTCGTGTCTCTCACCATTTCTTTTCAGCAGAGAAATACTGTGTTTTACAACAGTCATTGGCATTGATCTAATTAGTCAATATGACACTAGAGATCATGAGACAGTTTTGATTAATACAGATTTGGATGCGCATAAGACAAATCCAAGCGCTGCCAGGTCACCAAGGAGCGCACCAGTCAGCAACATTGCATGGCCTCGGTGTTCTGCAATAACTGAGTGGTTTTAACTGAAAGCGACGTTTTAATGGTGATTTGTTTTGGCTTTTTCTGTAAATAAATCCTTCCACAATATAAAAGAAATTCCTGTGCAATGCAAAGGAACGCAAGTGCTGTATATAATTTAATCAAGTTTTTGGTCACCAATATTGCTTTATCCTTCTGTCCATAGCTACACAAAGACAAGCAGCTTGTAGTCAAACCATCATTGAGTCAGATCTCTGCAGGTAAATCATTATACCCACATGGATATCAAAATAGCAAGGCTATAGTCATGTTGGTAGCTGTTAGTTCTTCTGGCACCATATTACAATTTAAATAGTGCATCTAGATCTTTGACATTTACGGAGGCATCAGTGGTATTAAAGAGCAGCTTTTAACAAAAATTATAATGGAAGAAAGAAAACTACAATTGCAGAACCTCTGTCTCTGAAGGTTTTATTTCACAGACAAGTTCATGGATCTATGGATCTATGGAGTCCTTGTAAAAATTCAGTGAACATTTTCTTGGTTTTCTCTTGCCTTTTTTGTATCATATTCCTATCCATAAAAATAAACAAGGCTGTAGGCTCCTACTTATTCACCCTCCGAAGAACTTCCATGCATTTTAATTTGCTTTAAACCAAGAAACTGATACACACAGAACTATTCAGGTTTCTGCCACTGAATTCCACCACCCCCCATCCTTTTTATTTTTCTCTGCTGCAGAGAGGGATGTAAAGGACATTGAAACATAGAAGATTGCTCTCAGGTCTGCGGATGGCAGATGAGAAGAGACAGAACAAGAGCAGAAATTAAAAACCATGGTATTTTAAAGACGCTTTAATCATCTTTGTGATTTTCAAGTTATTTATTCAGACATAATCAGCATTGTACTTCCTCTGTTGCTCCATATTTCTTACAACTGTAATCAGATCATCTACTTAAAAAGAAGTTTCAAACCGCGTAGGTGGATCTAATTAACTTTACTGTCATATGATTATTTTAGTCTTCACAATCCAAGAGTTTTTAAGCCTATTCTGTAATTAAGGTTTACTCAGCAGTTTTCTCACAAATATCTGCTCCCATTCAGTTAAGTAATGTGTTAGCATGTGTTGACATCATTTTTTAAATTATTTAGCAAGCTCCCTGCTATTTCAGAGATCTAGGACATGGAAAATACCTCACATTTTTCTCAGTGCACATTATAATTGTGCCTTTCAATTTTTCACTAGACATCCTGTGTTTAAGTGTATTGGGCAGCATCCTCTATCCAGTGGCAAAAAGAGTTCATTTAGTGTGAACCATTCCGAGCTAAGAGCATACAGCTCCCTGTAACTCTTGATGGCTGGATAAGATGACGTTAGTAACCTCTTGCAATGTTGCTTTCCAATGCGTTTTCAAGAATAACCAAAAAGTAAAATAGGACAAAATATCAGGTACTTCGTTATGTCCACACGGCTTAAATCAATTAATTTAGATTAAAAAAATATTAAAATACAGAAAACAATCACACGGTATCAGTAGCTACCCTGAGTAGAGGAGAAAAAGGATATTTAAAACTTGAAGACCACTTTAGTCTGCAGGAATAAAGTGCAACTCTGACAAGGTTCACTACAGAAGCCATATAGGTCACTATAGGTTCAAGACCAAAGGCCTCCTAAGTCATATAAGATCTTCTCTGCTTTGTCTTATTTATCAGTGAAAATAAATAATTAGATAAATAAAAAAATAGACTGCTTAAGTCAGACAGAGAAGTCTTAAGAGAGAGCTTTTTTAGCCTTGTTCAGCAATGCAGAACTACAAAGTAAATGGGGGGAAAAATTAAAACTGAAAAGTAAACAACTGCATTTTTTTCTCTCTTAAGAACAACCAAACAGGCACAAAGAAGCCTGAAGAAACAAAACACTTCACTGAAAATCTTTCCCTCATTCAGAGGGGAATAAAGCTGTCTTTTCATGAGACAAAATTCTTCAGCAGCAGCGTCAAGGTAAAGTATTCCTGTGCCGCCTCCTCGCTATCGTTCCCACAAGTACTTCCTCAAGAACTGCTCCTCCACGATGCCAGCACGGCTGCCTGTACAGCTGCATAGGGAATCAGACAGGGGAGGAACGAACTATTTTAACAAACCCTACAAAATAATTGTTGCTTTTTTTTCAAATTTTGGAGAAGTTTCCCAATCCGCAGCTGCACAAACAAGTTCTCCTGCTGAGCCTAAAGGAATAGTGTGCTACGCTGCAATACAAGAGTGGGAAGATTAGTGTGGGATGGAGGAAAAAACAGGCGTATTTCTCTGATGCTGCTACCAAAGCCTTTGTCCCCTGAAACCGCACCTGCAGACGCAGCTAATCTGATGTGTCACGGCTGCAGAACGAGAAGCCTCTCACCCTCACCTTCCCCTGCTCCATCTTCCCCTTCCAACCCTGTTGGAGGTCTCCTACCCCTCTCAGTTATGCTCGCTGACCTGATGAAACTCATAAAACAGAAGAAGAATATTCAGAAAAGTATTTGCAAGGGTCTGAGACACGTCAGAGCAAGCAGAAGATCACTAGGAGGCGTATACAGCAGAGGCATAATGGCTCGTAGAAAACAGGGAAGAAAAACCCCATTTCAGCAGCAGTGGATTTTTACATTAGCTCCCAGTATCTCTGAAACAATACTCCTGAGAGATCAAGCATCAAATTACTGATATTACTGACATTGCGGATATAGTAACATAATTTACTGTAATACAGGAAAGTGGTGAATATTATACTAAAACTTATATAGTATCATTTGCAACTGTTTTTATTTTAAAACACAGGAAATTTGATGTCATTTCCCTCATGACATAGCAATTAACTTGATTCGGTTTCTTGGAATTGGGTTTTTAACAAATAATTCAATTTATCTAATTCCACTTATCAAGTGACATTTACTCCTACTGAATTTCCAGTTATTGACCCTGAGGAAGAGAAATTTGATCCTTGTATCAGGTTGCTTACACACAGCAGACAAATCTGTCTTCTCTTGAATCTTTTTTCCTTTGAAAAAAGAATAAGGCTCAATTTTATGATTATTTCAAAACAAGTCATTTGGAATATATTTTCTATATGTAAACTGAAAAAAATTAAAATGGGAGTATGCAATCATTTCTTACTCCATGTTAACTAGCACTGACTCCTGAGAAAATCAATTTGACATTTCCAAATGGAAGACACCAAATTAGAGGTCAACTCTGAAAAATTCTGCATAGTACACAGTAAAGAGGTACAAACATTGGAGAGTTAGGTTCAGAAAGATGTTGAGAATGGACTTTTAAAGGTTGGTTAGCAAGGTTTTCACCGTGAAACAACTGCTTATTTTGTATGGCAAGAATTATGATCAGAAATCTTCACAGAGCTATCTCCACCATACAGTTTTCTTTCAGATATCCTTTGTTGTCTTTTGAGCTTTTTGTTTTTCTGTTTTGATTGACTGTTTATTTTGTGCTCTATGGCCCTTCTTAATCCCTGCGCATTCCAGGAAAGGTATAATAGCTTTCTTATGCTACAGCTATCTCCAAATTATCTCAGTTTGATGGCTTTGAAGAGCTCAAAGTTTGCTCTAAAAAATTCATGTTGCACTGCTTTGGACTGTTTCCCACAAGATAACTATCGTGTGAAACTTCTTGTGATTCAGTAGTTTTCAAATGTATTTAATATGAGATCTAATAACTTTTCAGTTATTGGTAAGTTGGGTTTTCTGCACAAAACGAATCGGTTAGTGAATGAATCACAGAATAACGTACATGCCACTTGAACTTCAGATCTTCTTTGCAGCAACGCCCCCATCCTGTTCCGTACCACACACTGATAAAAGCCAGCATCAGACCTCTGCAGAGCCGGGATGATGTACCTGTAAGACAAAACGCAGAATTATAGTGCATTTCTTCCTAAAGGCAGATCAATGCTACTTTATGTGGCATTCCTTATTTCCCCTCTAACATTTCACACATTGACTCAAATGCGTATTGTATTTTTTCTTACAAACAGCATTCTCTTATAGCTTCTGGTCTTTGGCTACAATATTTTCTGTGCTATACAGAAGAAAAAAAATACTTGAAGCACATAAAACATCTTTCAGTCTTAAGATCTACATCTGATAAACACTAACTAGTTCTCCACAAATTCTCTTGAAATACAGACTTAAATGCTTTCCTTAGTTTTATCTACCCTCATTCATAAGGCAAAGACATCTGGTATGTGGTTCAGAGGTGGCACAAGAAGACTACAATCTAAATCTAGGCATTACGAAGACTTGCAAGAAATATCAGAGCTCTCCAGGGAAAAAAAGATGTTTCCTACCCTGTGTGACCACGGTGACTCAGAGTAATACTGGATAAGACACCGCACACTGTACATTGCATTTGTTCTGCCCTTCACTATACTTAAAAAGTCCTTAGCCCACTAATGCTCACCTTTCTCATCCAACTATATCTGATTACTCGACATGAAAATGAGCTGATAGGCACAGTATTAATGTGAATAAAACACATGAATAATATAGATAATCCTGCATTAAACAAACATTAATCAAAGCGCATATTCCCCCGGTCACCTTCTGGAGATATTACGGTAGGATTAATGAAAGTCTTTATGAAAAGATAAGGAAAAATAAAACTGCTGAATTTTAATCTTCAAAATTTAATTCCACTCAAAGAAAGCATCTCTTCTCATTCTCACACGTACCCACATACAGAGCTTAATATCTGAACAGGATCAGACAGCATAAAAACAAAGGAGGTAGAAGAAATCTAGTTTAAGTGATAAATGAAGACTATAATCACTGCATTATAATTACAATCAAATACACTATAGCAAATAGGTCAGACAAACAAATACAGAGAATTAAAACAGAGCCTAACATTATGGACAAATTTTAGCAATCTACTGCGACTCCTGAGAGACCTTGGCTGCCTCAGCGTACGACTTGTGGGCAACCACGGTGTCCATCTGTCTGTGTGCCTAAACCGACTCCTCCTGAGGAGCAACCGGCAAATTTTATACGGGGAAGATAAGGAAGACTCTAAAAAGTGCTGTCTGGGAGTAGCAAACCCAACAATGAGCAAACAAATACTTATTGGCTAGTGGGGATGTAACTCTGAATTAGCCCTGTTGCCTCTTGCCTGGTGAGTATGCCACAGGAGTGAGAAAATAGGTGAAAATAGAAGGCACAGGATAGAAATCAATAGAACATAAGGCTTCCCTAGTTCCTTACAGAATCATTTTCTTCTCTGCCAGGCAGATGATTGTTGTAAAACATCATTACCAAGAAAAAGAAAAAAGGTAAAGATTCTGACAAATAAATATTGACAATGCATTTCTACAGTTCATTTTACCAGATAGTTTATAGCTTAACAAGCTTTTCTTCCTCCCATAAAAATTTAGTATTGTACTTGGCTAACATTTATTCCTCTGCTTGTCTATGAATTAGAGCCAAAATTAAAAAGGCTTCTTTCTCTGGTATTCATCTGTACTAAGACAGTAATGCAGAGTCAGTTTTCCTGCCACTAGGACAAACAAATCAATTAAATCAGAAGTGTCCTACTTTGGTTTTCCTTTCTGATTTATTAATGTTTCAGCAGGC